AAAAGGTGGAGCGGCAGACAATGGACGAGGGGAGAGCCACGTAACTGGCGCCCCGCTGCGGCGAGAAGCCCAAACACACTTCTTACGAGCGAACAAGCGTGTTTCGGGTCCTCGCCGCCTCAAAAGCTGTGCGCTGACGTCCAGATTCCCCGAGAAATGGCTCGTTGCTGATCTGTGCTACCAGATCCTCGCGCTCCAAATCTGCAACCGCGCACTCTATGGCTCCATCGTCGAACTGCCAGGCTTTGTAAGTGTGCCCATAGTAACGATGCGACCACGCGACTCGCAGTCCCATGGGCGTCGGCTCCTCCAGCCCAAGGCTGGATGATTGACGCCGCGACGCGCTCGAGGAATTCTCCCAGCGCGCCGTGTTATCTCCGGGCGACGCATTGGTTGAGGCCGGATGCGGCCATGCACGGTCAAGGACGACCGCGGCGTCGGCTTCCCGCCCCGTCGTCTGCTGCCGCTCAGCAAATGCAGTGGAGACACGCAAGACATGCAGGCAGGCATCGAGAGAGAGAGGGCTCTTTACACCTTGTTTTGCTGGAGTCGAGTGGCACCACCGGCGGCCATAACTCGACACCAGCTAAAGCAAGGGACTCTATGGGGGAAACGAGAAAAAGTGCCGTCCCCCCCGTTCCCCATCTTAAGCTGTTGTCGGCAGAGCCACTTTTTGGCTGCTTTTCGCGAAACCTGTCAAACACCCTGGGCACAAAGATTAAAACTGACAGCATTTGCGGTTCTTATAAATAAATGTTTTGTGGTGAAGACAGACTTCGCTGGGCGAAAAAAAGGGTTGGGTTTAGCAGACGACAAGCTTAAATACTTTGCTACGCGGAGTTCGCTCACTCCCGGAAAGCCGCTGTCAAGATGGAACTTTTTCGACATTCATCAACTTCTGGGCTTCCCGAGGACGGACCTATTGACGGCAAGTTCCTTTGTCCACTAGGGAGCAAGCTTGCCGGCTCAACCGTGGGGGCTCCGATACGTCTGACAAATGCCGATTCGATCTCTAAACACCCGATATAGAATCGCAGCCCATCCTAAGATACTCGCCTTTGAGCACCGCTTAGAAGCTTCAATATTCCTACTTTGTGTGTTTCTCCGTAGACTTGCGTATATTGCCTGGTGTATAGAGGCAACGGCGGTGGTGCCGCCGACGGGCCCCCGATCCGCGATCCAGCCTACTACAATAGAGATCGGTGCTCTACACCCTGCCACCGGCACCCCATCGTGCGTCTTCTAAGGCTGTATCATTCTACAAAAAAAAAAAGGGAAGACAGTTATACTGTTTTTTGTTTCTTGTTCGAATTACTGTTGACTGGAATGTGCACCGACGGAAGAAGCTGTTTATATGGCCGACGCTAATCGTTTTTATGGTATATTAGATTCACTATGATCGATGTGGTGAACCATGTAACTATGAGGTAGTGAATAATGTTTTTTGTTTGTTTGTGTGTATGTGTTTTTTTAAGGTTTACACTCATGTACTCCCCCCCCCCCCCCCCCCCCCCCCCCAATTATGCCTTAGAGCGCGCAGACGGTATGCGTGTAAATAAATAAAAAGAAATGTCCTACGTACAGGTGAGCTTCACTGCAACACGCATCATGCCACGCTTCTCGATGCAAACCGATAAACGTCAGCCTGCTATTCCCATAAACTCCTCCTGCGCGCTGCCATACCGGGCTGTACAAAATCGGTTCAACGCCGGGTGACTTGATGACCCGAAACAGCGAGCGATGTTTCACTGCATTCAAGGCTGCATATTACGTCCGCTGCGAGTCCCTGGACGATGCGTCGTGAACGTACGCTGTTGTTGTTCAGCGAACAATATAGACCGCTAATTGCGGTTTATATTTGGAAGCCGGTGGAAAATATCAATAGTGAAACTAAACAAAAATAATCGCGACTCCAGCAAAACGGACGCCATCAAGCGGGAAAACCGGGAACCAGCCGGTCCAGGTCGCTCCGCGCCCCTCCGCGTCTCTGGTGGCTTTCGCGGACACGTGTTGTCGGCGCGATGGTGAACAGTGTAATTTCACGAAGGTCCGAAAATTTCCTAAGTTTGCCTGAATGTTCATTAGTGTAGTGAAGCCTCAGTAGACTGTTTCCTTCCATCACGTGTTTTCGATTTCTTGGATAGGGAGGAATCGCGGAAAAACGTTTTGATGTCTTGTCTGTCTCGAATCACATTCAAAGTGACGACTACTTGGTAACTGATAAGGGGTTTCTTTATAAGGATGTAGAACAGTGGGAGGACGACAGACGAGGCATTTCACAGGAGGGAACACCAATGTTGTAGTGTGTGAATGGGAAGGTTCGATAGCTGCTTTTCTTGAGTTTGGTTGTGTTCGATTAGCTTCAAGTTTGAGCCAACCACTTCGGTCAGTGCGTTGGCTATTCATCTTGGCTGCTTTTCGCCGAAAAAGCCTCTGGACCACTCTGAAGGAGTTGGGCTGATTTCGCAATTACTTGATTCAGGAAAACCTGCTCGCTGCGAATGACGAATGAGGGAAATTATCTGTTTTCAAAAGATGGGGGACGCGTCTCGCAACGTTAGAAGCTGTCACGGCATTATGATCTATCGCGCCTCCAATATTTATATTATACCCCCGTCGAATTAAGCCAGCAGCAATATACGTTTACATTGCTCAGGTTGACCGGCCACAAAAATTCTCATTTTATCCGTTCAGGATTCGAAGTCAAGTTTAATGCAGAGAGGTTCTGCGTCAATCTCTAATGAAGACTCTCTTCAGTTTGTCCGGATTCGTCTCCGTGCTACCGGAATAGAACCATGTGGCTAAGTTTAACTTAGTATCTCTCTGTCTGTCAAATATACTTTTATTCAGCAGTTCACCTAATAGCTAGTTAACTAAGCTCATATTTCAACCCGAAGAATATACTAATATCGCTTTAGTGGGACATAGTACGTCATACGATACATAACCTGCTCGTCAAAATGACTTCTCGATTGGTACTAAAACCTGAATTGAAATACGAGTATCAGCTGCTTGGTGGGGTGCCGGCGGGTTAACAGGCTCCTTCGCTTAAGAAGCTCTTCCTTAATTTTCGTAATTTTCCTGCAGCCTGTGTTGTTGACCGAGCAGACGACTGAAGCTGTTTCTTAAACGCGGATACGCACAAAAGCTCGATTTCGCGGACAGATAAGTCGCATGGTCGAGGCATGCGAGTTGGATGAAAATTACTGTCGGTGGAAGAATTCTGCAGTCATTGCCGCTTTCCTTAGATGATCAAAACGGATTAGTATATTACCGTCTCTCTAGAGCCCATAGATTCGGTTTTGAACGAAATCTCCAAAACGAAAGTTTGACGTGAAAAGAACAAAAAACACCGGGAAAACGAAACTATGCTCTGCAAGTTTATGTGCACCGGCTACGCTTAACCGTCTCAGTTCAAATACCTATAAAATTGGGCATTAAACAAAAGAAAATGTGTTAAATTGAACGCGCCACCTGTTCAGGCGGCCCGGCCGAGCCGACGCGACCTGGACTCAGCCGCCATGTTTGTTTGGTGGTGGCGCCCCCTATAGGTCGCTGGAGTCGCGAATAGCCACAGCACTGGTGAAGGCGAGCGGGTTGAAGATGAGTAGATAGAATTGAAAGAATAAAACACGGAGGACAAGCACAGGACAACCACTTTCTTTGTGAAAGAAAGTGGTTGTCCTGTGCTTGTCCTCCGTGTTTTATTCTTTCAATTTTCACTCGGAAATAAACACCGCAAAATTGGCAATGGGTATCGAGCAATGCCGAGAAGGAAGTAACTTATAAAGGGCGTACCGGTCATCGAGGTACGAATATTCATTTACCAGCAGGGTAAAATATGCCCTGCCTAAACATGGCTCGCACGTGAAGTCATATGCCATAGTGCTGGGGGTGATTCTCACTTGTTCTTGCCGATCAAAACAAATTCGGTAGTGGGAAATGATACGCAGCGGAAGGGTCGCGCTCGGCAGAGCAAGGCCACCCCGATGGCCGCTGACGTGACGTTCATGTATGTCACGTGTAAATTAATGCACTCGGAAGAAAAGCAGCAGGGTCAAAATACACGATAGATACCCCCCCCCCCCCCCCCTCCAAATAATTTCTTTAGAAGAGAAAAAAGAGCAGGAAAGGGAAACTGGTGTGATACGCAACCTCAATAAACTCTGCAAAGGTTTTACCAACTTGCCTTCGGCGTGCTTTGTCGAGCGATGAGATTGACGACCTGTCACTGCGTTTCGTTCCTTCGATCGCAACATGCATAAAAAATCGCATTTATAAAAAAAAATCGATTACATCGATTGATAGTTACTGTGTCCAAGCAAAGCGACGCACGTCATTATGTAAGCACGGCACAGAGCTACACTGTAGGAACTGACGTTGGCTTTGTCGCCCCTCCTCCGCGCAGCACCTGACAAACACATCCCGGGAGACACATCACGAGCTGTCAGGTCCAGCAGAGAGCCCTGCCAACAACAGCTCCGACCTCAACCGGGGAACACTTGGCAGCCGGTCGCGAGCGCAAAAGAAGGCTGCCGCCGCCATGGCTGCCAGCCCACCACTGGCCCAGATCGACAGCCAAACGATTGAGGGTACACCCCAACAACATATGGGGGAACGACGGAAGACGGGCACGTCTGCGCCATGCAGTTCATCGTTCGAACGTACACCGCACTGTTTGAAAAATGTTTCATAGTTCCTGCTCCTTTTACTTGCGTGCAATATATATATATATATATATATATATATATATATATATATATATATATATATATATATATATATATATATATATTCTACGTCATTGAATTTTTGGTGAACCAAAATACGGAAGTCAAATTTCGAATGCAGATTCGTCGGCGGCGACAACCGTCGTCCCACCGGATACGGTACAATTGTACGCCGACATGACCACAAACGAGGTCAGCACGCAGTGACCCCAGCGCACGGGAGCGACTCGGAAGAAGCGCGGGAGAAAGGGAAGAGAGCGTCCATCTCACCGAGGTAAGAGGCGATGGGCGACGCTGCCACGACGTTGTCGTCGTCGTACCGGTCCGAGCACGAGCTCCCCGTCCGCCCGACGTCCGCGCCGAAGAGCCTGCCATGGCTCGGCACCGCCGGCCGCTGCTGTTGCCGCAGCGGCGGTGGCTGCTGCTCCGAACCGCGGTCTCCCTTCATCGCATGCTAGGCCTTTCTCCGCCGATGCTCCGCTCTCATCCGACCGGCGCGGAGCACGGAAGATGCTCACACCACAAAGAGCACAACAAGCCGCGAGCAGCACTTCTCGACGAGTAGGATCCGAGGTGACACCGACAGATGTCGACTCAAGGGCGGAAATAAACCGGGGGCAGCGTAGGCGACTCGGAAACAGACTCCGTCGCTCCGTCGACGTCCCGAGAGGCGCCGGGTGATGCGCGACGTTCCCGACAAAGAAGGCCAATGAAGGCAGGCAGTCTTCTTTCGGCGGAGATTCGGGCCGTCGTCTTCCCCGTCGTTATCGCATTCCCTTCTCGGACGACGTTGTTGATATTTTGCTCGCCTCCGGAGTCTGGGACGACGCGGTTCGCGATGCGGAGGACTGCTCTATCGAGTCTCTATCCCCGGTTTGTTCCCGAGGCTGCTCCTTGGAGGCGCCACCGCGCTCGGTGCCTCGGTAGTGTGCCCAGATTTGAGTGCGTTCTGAACTCCCCGATCCCAGTCGCGTGGTTTACGGGCCGCATTTGCAACGTAAGCTGCGAGGAGGCGTCGATCGTTTGCAAGCGCCTCCAGGCTTTTGTCAGCCTCCCGCTCGCTGTCCTCCTCGCCACGCGTTGAGGCACGCCTTGGGAACGCGCGCGCACGAGCAACCAATCTGCGCGGGAGGTATCCGTCATTAAACTCCAAAGGTCCTCCGTGGTTTGCGTTGCTCCCTCTGTCAAATCTAGGCGCCCTATTTGGCTGCCTCTGGTTGCTTCGGCGCCGGCCGTGACGTCAGGCGTCGTCTCTGCACGCCCTCGTCTTCCGCCCTTTCGGGTCCAACCCCGCGCTGCCTCGCCGCCGCGACCCACACCCATCGCCCGCTCTCCGCGAAGCTCGAGCTGCTTTTGTTGAACTATTGCTTTGTTTACGTCGCGTTTCTTTCTCCGAGTACTTTCTATTTTTCGTTGGGAATAAGGAAAAAAAAAAAAAAAGAAAAAGAGAGGGCCAATTAAATTGTGACGTTCACTCGATTCGAAGCGATTCAAAATTTTGCGTTCCACGCTCCCATTTCCGAGGCGCCGCATTCTTACATTTGGCTATATTCAGGATAACCAGTAGCTACCATATGGGTTAGCGTAATAAAAGTTAAGATACAAGAAATATACCGTATTTAATTTGTTTACATTCGCCGAATATTCCTATACTCTGGGACAGGTTTCTGAGTCATTTACGACGCGAGAGCAGCTTTAATCGGCGTTCGAGCACGCGCCCCCGTACCTTTGACTGCAAAGTCACAAAAAGATCGTGGGAGAGCTGAAAAAGTTAGCTACATGCGCTACCCACGGAGCGAGTTAGGCTAAACGTCTACGGATTTCACGGGACCATATTAATAAAACACGCATTAATGAATTACCGCAAAGAAACGAGCGCAAATAATGCTGCAATGTAAAAAAAAAAACAAAAAAAAAACGACGAGTTGATTTTTTTTTAGGACTTTATGACTAGAATACTAATGTTTAGCAGAAGAAAAAAAATATATATATATAGGCAGTCACTGATTCGTTCATACTTATTTGTTTTGCTTAATAATCCAACCCATACTGAAAGTTCAATTCAGAGATTACGTACTTGCTAATACACTAAACGTACTACGTCCCATTCTGAAAAGCAACAAAGCAGGTCTCCAAACAACAGCTGCAAACCATTACAAACAAACAAAAAACACATAAAAAATGAACACGCGCGTGTTTTTCCCTTGTCTGCTTTCGTTTAATTGAAAAAAAAAAAAAAACTTACGAAAGGCTTTAAACCTGGGTTTACGGCTCCTAGCCGGCATAAAAGAAACGAGGCCGATGGAAACAGAACGCAAACAGTTGCCAAAACAAGCGGAAGCCAACGAAGACCAAACGACAAAAGCTTCGCTTATTGAAACTTTAAAGGTCGGACTCATATCCGGCCGCGGTTACTGCCAGGGTGCGACGACCCGAGTTTGGCGCCACCAATACGGGGCGCGAAAACATCGTACGCAAACCGAGGCACGAGTATGTTCACCCACGGACGACATCAGACAACACGCGATCCGGACGTTTGCTGCGCCTACAGTTGCCACGAGCATCATTATCTCTGAAATCGTTCGAGAGTTCAAAGATTGACATCTAAAAGCTTCTTCGCGGTCCATGTCAAGTTTGAACCAAAGTTTCTGTGAGCGAAACTTCGATAGTCGCTGATCTGTCCCAAAATGCCGAAGAAGCATGGAGGGCTGTTTCAGCTCGTGGTTCTTCGGCATTTTGCGAGCTACCCTACGAGAGGCGACTCCTATCTCTTCGCTGGTTCAGACTGGATAAGCTGTGAGTGTTCTTTAGGCGCTGCCCCACCCCTGATGGTCACTTGAGGAGGTCAAGGCGTGATCCCTAGACACCCCAGCAGCGATTTGCTCGCACCATCAGTGCCTCTGCCTCCCTTTGTTCAAGCGCCTGGCCTATGGAAGTTGGAATCCCATGCCAAACGATGCTCGCCAGATCCCTAGTGTAGACCAATTCAAAGATCTTGTGAAGAATCACCAGTAGCCTAATGCTGAACGCCGGACGCCGGCGTTCAGCATTCTAATGCGTTCGACGTGTGCCCTAGAGACAAAGGCAGCTCTAGCTTTCGGTCCACCCACTAATTTATCGAATCAGAGCTCGGCGTTCTGACGTCCCAGCGCGCTCTCGTCTCCTACTCTCCCCTAGTGCCTCTGCGCAGAGTACGTTTTTCGCGCATTCGATTACAATGGTCTTTCGGTTATATGGGCACCGCCGTTCTCCCCCAAAAGGCGCCCAGTCGTTCGTAAAAAAGAAGAAAGATACGTGTATTTACCCAGTTCGTTCCCGCAAATGTTGTTTACATAGCGGGTATACATATTAACGGGATTTTTGCGAACACGCCATTATAATTTACAAACGAGCGTTTATCAACGGTCCTTCACGCAGCGGAACTGTCGGAGAGAGACACGGGGGCTCGCTTGCCGGTTTTCGTTCCAGTTTCGTGCTTGCGCAACCGCTCCTACCATGCCGATGGTCCCGTCGCAAGACAGCGCACGCAGCCGCGAGGGAAGCCGCCAACACTCGGCAAAGGGGCCGTGAGCTATACGGCCCCCGTTAGCCAATTAGAAGGACGGAGTCAACCACATTACAGTTTTTCACGTAGAAAGTGCACGCCAACGTTATGTCGGTGCAGGTGCCTCGCACAGGCGCTGATTGGATCGCTGGGGGAGGCAGCTTTCGCCGTTTGCCGAGTTGCGTTCGAACGCAAGCTCCCACAGAGCACGGGCCAGGCATCTGGGACGTGCGTGGGTGATCCGAGCCCTCCATCCACAACGAGCACGACCCGAACCGCCCAAAAAAAGTACTCGCTCTGATTTGGAGCGCGGCAGTTTTCAAGTCTCCAGAAGCAAAGAAAAAGCAAAATAAAAAGCAGTCGCCACTCGGGGGTGTTTAGCAGTTAAACGATACACGAATCTCCATATAGACGCGGTTGCCAATCGCGTCTATATGACGCGGTTGGCAACCGCGTCATACATGTGCTCTAGAATGCTGACGTCATCAGAGTGAGATCGAGCGAAGGCACTGATTGGATACGAGTGCTGCGTCAGTGCTCGGCAGGGTCTCGTGTCCAATCGGGTTGAACTGCTGAGTTGACGCCACCCGACTTCGATGACGTTCCATGGGGAGGAAGAGGAGGTCGTCGGCGTGGCTAGATTATTCTAGGTGGAGTTGGTTTACGCGTGGGGTCGCCATGCATGAAGCTCTAACGAACCAAATATCGCTTATGTTTAACGAAATACGCGAAGATTGTGAAGGACCGTTCCGAATTATACTCCGCTTCACTCGAGAGGGTCAGCGCGCATCCGTTGCTACTTATCGCTACCGAGTCGACGGGGCCGATCGAGCAACGCCAAAATCACGAGTTGACGACGTCCATCATGCCTCTGCGCCATCATCGGCAACGCTAAAGCAATCACGCTCGACGACGTGAACCTCTTCGATGTCTGCGTGTTTTCTAGACATCGCTCTCATTTACACTGAAACGCGCATTTTGCAACTCTCGTGCTGGTTCACACTTTGACCACAATTCGCGCATTCCGTCAAAACAGCGCCGCTTTTCCGTGGACACGTATGAGCCTCGAGATTAGCGAGTTTTAGCGCGGCGCTAGCCTTGCCTGTAGAGTCCAGGATCTCGTAGCGGGTTCCTGAGAACGATGCGGGACAGCGCGAACCATCTACGAAAACTCCCTAACCTCTCGGCATGTCGCACGCCCGCTCTTCAACGCTGCCGGAGTTGGCCGTAGCGAGCGTGTCCTCCTCTCCCCCTGGGTTTGAATCAAAAGCTTGGAACGGCCATCTCTCGTCATCGCGCTCGGATGGCGTCAGCTCGACGAGAACCGGCCGGCTGACGCGCCCAATGTGTGTCTGCGCTCGATCTGACTGCGACGACGTCGAACGGATTAATCTTGTCAGCAACGGGCCGCCGAAACCGAGCAAGTGTTGCTTGATTGATCGGTCACGCCGACGCTGTCCAAAAACGTTCGGACGCCACGCCCCACAAATAATGAGACGGTCACCCCCACAGGAAAGAAGCTATCCACAAGAAGACACCATCCAGGAAATGTACAACCGCCGGTGGTTGGACGGACGGTCGCCGCTATCCGCAGCATGCTTTTATATATTTAAAAAAAAAAAAACGGTTAATCGGAAGCTAGTCAACTTTCTCGCCGATATTTCACTGAAAATTAGACGTAGCAACAAACCAAAAAGACCAAACCGGCTCCGCCGGCGTTGAACCGGTATAGCCTCATTTATCAAAAACCTGTCCCCCCCAGAAAACAAAAACAAACATAGCAAGGGATAGGAAGTTGGAAATCTTTGAGAATAACCGCGCCATCATTTAATTCTCTCGGACCAGCCATTTAAGCTCGTGTACAGGTCGTCGCCATTCCCGTTGGTCCGCCACATCTAGAGGGCAACCATTAATGCGGTAAGAGTGAGGCACATCAACGAATGCCTCTAAAGATACACATTTTTGGTTTACAAGATATATGAAAGAATGGGCCGAAACCACGACCGCCGCCACGCCAAGTCTCGAAGAAATGTGTCACCATTTCGCGCAGCGGTTAAACATATCATAGCATTTTATTGAAAAACCCGAGACTGAGGTAATGACAGACGACGACAAGGAAGAGAAGCAGAACGTCTCTTCCTCGTCGTCGTCTACATGTCATTACCTCAGTCTCGGGTTTTTCAATAAAATGTTTAATACACACCGGCTCACTTGAGCCCTTACGTTCTGCTCATATCATAGCATGGTGAATGCAGCCTCTCAGCACTTTTCCCCGGGGTGAACATTCCCGAAACCCCTCCTATCCCTGGTGCAGGAAGA